TGTCTAAAGTCCAACATCGATGTTGTTGTCTAAAGTCCAACATCGATGTTGTTGTCTAAAGTCCAACATCGATGTTGTTGTCTAAAGTCCAACATCGATGTTATCTAAAGTCCAACATCAATGTTGTTGTCTAAAGTTCAACACTGATGTTGTCTAAAGTCCAACATTGATGTTTTTCTCTTTTTCTCTTAAGTCTAACATCAGTGTCTCATCAGTCTTTTTCAGCACTCACAATAAGACAGGCAGACAGAAATGTCTGCCTGTCTTATCGTTAATTCTGTTATTTTTCACTTTATTCTGTTATTTTTCACTTTATATCCGTTCAATGGCAATGAGCACACATAGACAAACCTAGTGGTCACGGTGGGTGGGATCTTGATCACTATTGGCTTTAAATAAGCATGATCACGCATTTCAACCAATGAGACCCTTTGTTGTTGGTTTGTTGCCTGACAATGTGCAATGCTCACATTGACCTGCTTTGCATGGACAAAAACAAAGAAGGAGAAAGTCACTGGATTTTTATGGGCATATTTTGTTTTAAAAGTCTTTTCAATGGTTAACTGGAAAGATGTTACTTGTAAAGTCCCTSTCACACCATGACATTTTAGACAACTTATGCCAAATTATGAAAAGTTTGGGGACATCTACGTTGAAGATGGAATTCAAAACAAACAACTGGAACATTCTCTTAGTAATGTACATACTGTAATGCTAACAAATTGATCAAATATTCACTTTTATTAGTAATTAAGTGGAAAAAACATTTTATAAGTTGGCATAAGTTATCTAAAATGTCATAGTGTGACAGGGACTTAAGTGCTTCACCACTGAACTGCCTTACTATAGTAGTAGTTCCATCCTGAAGTATGACTCTAATTTTAACCCACAAACAAACAGTTTTAATTATTAATTGTTAAATATAAGCCTAAAACTGTTAAAGATACAGAAATTACAACTCATCCATGTAAAGTCCAACTTCAGTGATCTGTTTTTTTATTTTTTGTGAATTTAGAATAAACCGTGCAACGAAAAGTCAGGACACTATTCCTTGACACATTGTATTATTTTTTTCTGTGGGAGGAGTAGAAAAGGACAACTCAGAAWGGAAACAGAAGAAAACAGTGCTTATCTGTCTTTACATACACCTTTTATTATTGTATTGTTATAAAAATAAAAGCAGTGTTTTTACTAAGAGATGAAGAGTACATACTGTAWTGACACCGGTGAACTGATAAAAATTGAGCCCTGCTGAAAATCTACAGTATCTTCTTCCCATGTTTGTTCATAGATTAAACACAAACTGAATTAAAGGCCTAATGTTTGCTGAAGGAGACTCGCTGACTGCCTCCTTTCATGCCAGAGTTTAAACTAATATTACCTTATTTTTTTTAAAAAGGAGCCATTTTAGTTGAACCTTACACTCATTCTCATGCATTATCAGGAAATGTTACACTCAGTATGATTTAGGAATGACTCTCAGCTACTACCACACTAAATTTTAGCACATTGTATTTAAAACAAACTGAGCATAGTCATGTTTGGTTAGCTGTGGCAGCCATCTTGAATTGAGTCCAAAAGTTAATCAGCTGTTGATGCTCATCCACTGATTATTAACTGAAAGTCAAATTACAGTCTGTCCTATAGTTCATGAGATATTTTGCTGAGAAACAAACAGAATTGATTTATTATAATTATTGTCAAGCTTTTAAACAGGCTTTTAAACGGCAATGTTGTGTAATCTGTTAGTGCTCAGAGTACTTGATGGACAGTTACTACCATGCCGAAATTTAGGTCAAGAGTTCTAACATTTTTTATGTTTGGTAAAGTAGCTGCAGCAGCCATCTTGAACCAGGTAGAGTCCAGTGAACGCACACCGATGTAAGTCACTTTATAGCAACAGGTAATAGAAAATATTAACTTATTATTGGTATAGAAACTCACCCTAAAAAACAATTTTAGTCTTTATGCCAATCTTAGCTGTGGAGAAAATTTTCAAAGCTTTAGATGTGTTTTCTTTGTTTGATTCTGCAAAAAGAGAGGAAATAATGTAGTTAGAAAATATTGCGATGTGATTTTATTGTTTTTTTTTATTGTGATAATGATGATATCACTTAAGATAAATCAACATTTTTCTCACTCCTCATCACTTTCATCCAAAGCAGATGAGGCATCAGAGCCGGTAAGACTCTGTTGATTGACAGATTATTATTATTAGGAGCAGAAAAGGAATGAGGTCATTGAAATATATTAGTTTATGATTTATTACAGTCCAAGCAGTGAAACTGATTCTGTGATGCTGATAAAATTAGGATTTATTATGTTATACCTCACCATACCTCATGTTACCTTCAGCCAAGAAGAAAAAAGGTTTCCCAGTCATCACAGTTTGCACCAGAAGTGATGTTTTTTATGGAATACCAGCAGTCGTTGCCTATCGACAGAAACTCCTCAATCATTTACTGCGACACCTTTCCAAATTCAGTCATTTGTTCAGCAGGGTTTTAGTTTAGTTTTTAGTTTTAGTTTTATTCATTTATTCGTTTCATTAAACATTTTTTATACACAACAAAAAATATACAAATCCAAAATGAAATGAAAGGAGGCAAAAAGAAGAAAAAATCTTATATCTGCCCCAATTTATTTCAGGCAATAATAATCATGAAACAAAACAAAATAAAAGCTTCTATTTCTTCTCAAACAACAACTTTTGATATTCATTATGCAATTTCATATTTCTTTAACAAACTTATTTTTTATCATTCTCTTAAAGAAATGCATTGAACCGGCATTTTTATAATCATTTTCCAGATTATTCCACAATCTTATTCCTTGAACATTGGCCCTTCAAGTTTGTTTGAATTTTAGTTTTAATAAACATCTCAAGTCCTTTAAGATTACGATAACTTTCTCTCTTAACAAAATATAACTGGATGTTTAAAGTACACTGTTTTATGAGCCTTACACATAATCTGCAAGATATCATAATCAAACAACTCATAAAATTTAAATAATTTTAATTTAAAAAATAATATATTCGAAGGGTGACTGTAATGTTTTTCGGTGATAACTCTTAAGGCTCTTTTCTGTAAAATGAAAATAGGATTTGTGATTGTTTTACATGCTTTACCCCAGACTTCAATACAGTAAATCAAGTGTGGAACAATTATTGTATTATACAGTATAAGCAGAGCTTTATCATTGAATAACTCCCTTACTTTATACAGTACTCCAACAGATTTAGCTAATTTCGTTCTTAAGTAATTTATATGAGCTCTCCTTGTCAGCTTTTCATCAATGATAATCCCCAAAAACTTTACCTCACTGACTCTACTAATCTCAACACCATCAACTTTAAATGGAAAATCAATAGTTTTCTTTCTATTACTGAATATTATGTAATTAGTTTTATGCAAGTTTAACGATAATTTGTTAAGTTTGAACCACGTTTGTATTTTTACAAATTCTGTTTGTATCCTTTCCAACATCCGTTCTATATCTCTACCCAAACAAAACAATGTTGTGTCATCAGCAAACAGAACACATTTAAACAACCCTGATACATTTACTAAATCATTTACATACAAAATAAACAGCTTTTGTTCAAGTATAGAACCCTGAGGAACTCCACATGTGATTTTACTGAGTTCAGATCTTATATCATTAATTTAAACAAACTGTTTCCTATTTTTCAAATAACTATTTACTTACCCACTGCAGTGCTGGTCTTCTAATACCATATTTATTTAGCTTTTCAAGGAGAATTTTGTGATCAGTTGTGTCAAAGGTTTTCTTTAAATCAACAAAAACACTAACACAGTACTATTTTTGGTCAACAGCAGTTGTTATCTGTTCAATCAA